TTCCTCCAGAAGTAACTACACAACTTGCTATTTATTAATCAAATGAGCATTTCAGCCCTGGAGCCATTTTTTTCATAATAGGATAAGTTTGCCTTTAAAAAAAGAAAGGATCATACCATGCAGAATTTTTAATGACACCATACGGTAAACAAAGCCAGTCAAAGTCTAATGAGATTTTGGTGTTGACGGAACAAAGCTTCACCATGGAAAATGCAAAGAACTAAAGATACAGAGTATTTCCACGTATTAGAAAGTGCTCAAAGCACTCTGCGTGAGTACCAAATGAAATGCTGTGTGCTTTATGCATATGTTACATTTAATTACAAAAATCTACAAAATAAATCCATGTATTCCCATAACCCATAATTCAGAGTAGAACCTGAGACTTAGATCCCTGGTGCAACCTGCCAAGGCCAAAAACTCATTAGAGGGCTGAACAGAAATGCAAACCCAGACAGGTCTGACTATCAGGCTATTCCTTTCTCCGGCTATATCTTCCCTAGGCAATTAAAATCCTTTAAATCATCTCCCAAAGTGTGTGTTGACCCATCACTCATGTGAAACTTAGTGAAACAGACCGGAAATCAGAAAATGTGACTTGGCAAACTCTGATGGAGTAAATCAGAGGGACAGGCCCAGGACAGGAAGCCTGGTGGACCCCTTAGTCCCTATGCACAGGCACCGATTTTCCATTCTATGACCCTGACCTTGTATTAATTCTTTTCATTCTCCAGAATAAAGTGTTCTGTTACTTAGCGACAATTTTGAGAATTTAAAATATATTTAAACAATAGAAGTCAGTGACTCAGAAACTATTACATTTTACTTCAGAGATAAATTTCAAGCGTTCCCAAAGCTCCTCCTTGAATTAAGGTTTTTCACGTGGAAATACTTTAGCTATGCTATAAGTTAATGGGTAAAATTCAATAATTGTTTTATTCATATTCATATATATTATTTGTTTATTAGGTTAGATCTTTGCAACAATTACTGTAAGCTATCATTTCAATCTGTGCAAAACTGAAACAAAAAATTCAAATGATTGGAATTAGTTCTTCCCTCTAAGTATAACTATCTACTTTGATGAAAAGTGACAAATAACAAGTAGGCATTCAGCAAATAAATGTGCATTGTTTAATTTTAGTGACCTTTCCTCATTCAGACCTCAGCATTGCTATACCTTATTTCCCCGATAATCGCGTTAGCTATAGTACTATATTTCACACTATTTATTTTTATACAAAGTCTATCAGTAAACATAGTGACAAACCAGCCAAATAAATGTTCTCCAACACTGCAGAGGTTTATTGTAATGACCCCAGAATTTGTTTGGAATTTAAAAGTAGCTACATTATTTTTAAATGAATTCTATAGGAGTTAACCACACATAGTGTCAGGGAAGACAAAGTTGGAGAAGATGGGAGATGAGACCTGCGCAGAGAGAACACACCCAGAACAGCCCGAGGGGCTAGCGGCAGCCAGGGAAGCGGAAGGAAGAGCGGAGGGGTTAGGAAGGCTTCCGGTCTCGTGTTGCGAGTCTGAACTTCCGTGTAAGAATAATGGGAGGATTTGAAGAATTTTACCCAAAACAGAGTTGCATGATTTGCACATTTCTAAGAGGTCTCTTTAGTAGGTGTTAGCAGGAGCAAGAATTAATATGAGTAGAGAAATGAGGAGACCACTGTCACTATTCAGCAAAAGGTTAACTGCGGTTTAAAGGAAATGACAGGAATGAAGATGGGAAGAAGCAAGCATATTGTGAATAAAGCAAACGTGTTTTGAAGAGTGTGTATGACAGAGAGAGAATATAGTAAAGGACATAAATATTTGATGCATGGATTACTTTAAGGAAGCTTCCAAAAGGCTTAATATGGACATTTTTTTCTAACAATATTGAAGGTGGCCAGTCTTGTTTACCACTTTATAAAAAAGCACTTAAAACACTAACAGTGGCAAAAAGGAGGTATTAATTTTATATCGCAGCAGCTACCCTAAGAGCAACAGATAAATGATGCTTATCTCTTTAAAACCCTCTCACAGCCTGCCCACCATTTCTAATGCATTTTACACAGGTACAGTACTTATTTGGGTTTTAACAAAATGACTCCAGATTTTGTGTTTCTATTCTTAACTCTTTTTTCTTTCTCAATCATGCTCCTCTGATTTCTTTTCATCCATTTTTACACAATGAACCCCCCTTAGACTCAGGAGAGTTCTGAGGAATACTTCCTGACATCTTTCTTGGCTCTTCAACACTTCCCTGGACCTTCAGGAGGCTGTCACTCCTAACTCACTGAGGAGAGGAACTGCAGTGGTCACTACACCTCCACGATTCTACCAACACCTGCATCACACCTATTGTTCTTTATTCCACCCAGACTCAGTTGGACAAGATTCTCCCTCTCCGCTTCTTTTAACTTAGTTGACGTGTGTCCTTTCTGGTGTCTAAGAGAACAGACCTGCTCTGCTATTCCACAGGCATTCCCTCATCGTCCTCAGGTCCTAACGATGACAATGACTCCCTTCTCCCCCTCCTCATATTCTTAATCCTTCAGTGGTCCTTCTCCATCAGTGTATCTCTAGTCATGCTTCTGCTATTTAAAAACCATTCTCCATACCCTAACTATTCAACTTCCTTTCTGCCCTCACTGAATTTCTCAGAAGTATCATCAAGGGCTGTCTACATTCCTCTGCTCATCTGGCAGTCAGGTGTGCTTTGGCTTTATATCACTGTGAAAAGGAAAGCAGGATGCCGCAGAATGAACATCTTCCAAAGGCTATAACCTAGCAGTCAGTCAGTATAAACAGAATTCAAATCAAGATATTTTCATTTAATGTTTATTTTCCTAAATATTATAAAATTTGATGCCATTAATGTCACTAAATGTAGTCCTTGAGTTTGTGTGTTTTACTGTTTTGTTAAACAATAATATCAATCTACATTATCAAAGAAATACATACAAATAATGAACAAGTTGATCTCTTAAAATATGTGGCAATGTTCTCTCTCTCTCTCTCTCTCTCTCTCTCTCTCTCTCTTTTTTTTTTTTTTTTTTGGTACTGGGAATCAAACTGAGGACCTTGCACTTGCCAGGCAGGCACTTATGCCACTGAGCTATATCCCCATCCCCAATATATGGCAATGTTAAGTGCAAGTTCTAAAGTTAAAAGTCAGCAGGAATTGGATGAAGAACTAGCCTTTTTTCCTAACTTTTTAACTTGGTAGAATATCTCACATAAATATCAAAGGATTTTTCAGTTCTTTGAAATACTATTTTAAAAGTAATACAAATAATGATTGCTTTTGTTTTATGTTATAAAATAAAATGATATACGTAAAGGTGCAATTTATAGTAACCAGAGGAAAGAATGATATGATGATGAAAAGATTTTTATGTGGTCATTCAACTTATCCAAATTCAATTTCATCTATAACACGCTATGCAAAAAAAACCTCTGCAATGAACACTGCTTTTCAAAATGGCAGTGTAACTTTACATAATTTAATAACATAATTATTATTACCTCAGTGTAAGATTAAAACTAACAAAGGCTATTTATTTATGGTAGATAATGCCTAGCTTGTCCAAAAATATTTTTATTTTCCTAATTCCTTGAATATCCTTTACAATTAACTTAGGCAAATGATTCCTTCATCAATATTAAGGGCTAATATCAACAACACTTTTTGCTTAATTCTCTAGCATACTTTCTTATTCTGTCCCCTTTCACTTTGGGTCCAACACGGACCAGGGTCTATGTCAGCCACAGAATGCGAAAGGATGGAGGATGGGTTACGGAGCTGCTATCTGAAGTAATTCAAGGAGGATGCCATCAGTACATGACAAGTGACCTCCTGAAACTTCTCAAAGCATATTCACTTAAACACAATTATTCATCCGAACTAGCACAGACCAGCCAGATTACAAAATGCCATTTAACATATATAAATGACTAACGTGTGTCCCACATTACTATCTTTCCTTGATGCCAAGGAATTTAGTTAAATTTAGGGAGCATCCAAGGAAATTCAAATTTTTCTTTTCACAAAATGTAAATGAGCTACTTTTTGTATGGATAAAGTGCTGTTATTGTTAAAAAGTAATGTGAATATTTTCATGTCTCTGTATGGTCAGTGTTTTGTGACTATAGAAAGAGTGGAATTTCGGTTTAAGGATAAAGATTGAAAATGAAAAGATAACGGAGGAGAATGAGACTTCTGGAGAGATTTACTTGCAGGAGTTTGTATTAACATTTCAAAGTGGGGTTCAAACTTGGAGCCATATATTTATATTTCAAAGTATAGCTTAGACATCCTTAATAGGAAAATCTGAAACCCAAATGCTGTAAAATCCAAACATGATGCTCGAAAAGTTTCAGATTTGGTGACACTTTAAGTTTTAGACTCTCAGATTAAGGATTTTAAGCTACAATGGCTATGCAAATAGTCTAAATCTGAAAATTTTCCAAACTTGAAAACCCTTGTCATCCTAAGTATTTTGAATAATGGGTACTCAACCTATCTTTACACTCAGGAGTTTTCTCTCCCTTCTCTCAGAAAGAGAAGAGGTCAGTTAAACAAGAGCTCCTACGTGAACACCTGGATCCATAATTTCAGGATTTTTTCCTTAAGGTAACAAATTCCTGCTTTGGTTCTTGCAAATGGCACCATCTGGCTGTCACTATACTCTTTGTCCCAAAGGGCACTAACCACAGTAACTGAGGTAGAAAGTCTGTCCTAATCCAGAAAATTTGTATGTGTTTTCAGAGTAAAGTGAATATTAATATTAAAAACATTATATTTTAAATTAAGGTTTGGAGGGAAAGTACATTTGGAGAGCTTAATTATAATTCTTTTCAGCCAGATCAAATCACCTAACTAGTACATAACCCGATCACCAATATCATTTCATCACACTATTCCATACAATAAAAGGAGATGCGCATTAAGAATATAATTGCAAGGAAATCTATCGAAAATAAAAATAAAAATCACTTACTTGATATTATCAAGACAGCCTGATTCAGGTTTCAGTATGGCAGTGTGATGGAACATTTTATATAAAGCAATTCCCAGGAAGATTACATTAAGCTGGAATGCAAGATATATGTCATGAATTATCAGAATAGGAAAACAAAACAAGACAAAAAACAAGTCTATTCTATGTAACAAATGAATTGTTCTGGGAAATTAACTTTTAGAACACTTTTAAAGGAACTGGATCATAGATAACTGCCTGGTATTTCAGTCAAGGGAAGAAGCCAGTTTGGAGAATTTGAATTCCACTGAGGAACAAAGCACTGTTATGCCAGATAAACACAAATACAAAATTAGCAGCAGGTAGAATGATGTGGAAATTCTGAAAGAATTTAAAGCCCAATGTTTGTTTTTTAAAAAGTAAGTATACAAACACAGTAATTATTCTAGGTGTGCTATTTCTGAGCAATGAACATTTCTTCAGATCTAATACTTAGGGATACATTTTCAAATTTTATATTATGAAAATACAATTACTAAAGTCAATGTATTTTTGCATAGCTAACTCAAAAGAATTGGAAAATGCTGGTGAAATTCTGATGTGACAACAAAGTAAGAGAAAAGTGGAGAAAACCCTCACGGTATTATTTCACTGAAACAAGAGAAGGCACATGATTTAAAACAAAATACTTCAGGATAAATTACCTTTGCCACTTACATCTAGTTCAGTTACAAATAGTTCAGAAAAGCACACATTGAATTATCCTTTTCCACTTGACTGGCTTATAGATTCCATAACTTGGGACATGTGGAGGGTAGAAAAATCCAGTTAAAAGTACCACTGAAATTCTCCCTATAACACACCTTCACAACCTTTTATGAATCATCTCCAAATCTAGAACATCTCAAAAGTAAGCATTTAAAAAAAAAAAATCTATTGGGTGGCTAAAACAACCAGCCTCAACTGAATCCATTTTCCGTTTGGTGGGAAAACCTGATTAGTACTGCCATAAGGCTACCCACAGTCATTACCACCCTTGCTCTTGCTTTTCTTACTTTTCTTTTTCTACAGAAATATTTCTGTTTGGTTGCATAGTGCTCCTCAGTCCCTACTGTAAATATAAGTTGATGTGTTTCATTTGGGGCACCTGCCTATTCCCAACCACTGTATAGGTCCTGTCTTATATGTAATACATGTACCATATTGTATTTCCAAAGTCTGATACAGCACTGAATTCCAAAATCTATGACAGGTAACCTCCTGAAACGTCTCAAAGCACATTCATTTAAATGCAGTTATCCATCCAAACTAACAGAGACCAACCAAATTACACGAAAATGCCATTTAACATATATAAATGACTAACATAACTATCTTTCCTTGATGCCAAGGAATTGAGTAAGTTAAATTTAGGGAGCGTACAAAGGAGTTAAAATTTCTCTTTTCACAAAATGTAAATGAGCTACTTTTTGTATGGATAAAATGCTGTTAGTGTTAAAAAATAATGTGAATGTTTTCATGTCTCTGCATGGCCAGCGTTTTGTGACTATAGAAAAGTGAAATTTGGGTTTAAGGATAATGTTTGAAAATGAAAAGATAACTGCAGAGAACGAGACTTTTGGAGAGATTTACTTGCAGGAGTTTGTATTAACATTTCAAAGTGGGGTAAAACTTGGAGCGATATATTTATAATTCAAAGTATGTTGAGACAACCTTAATATGAAAATCTGAAATCTAAAATGCCCCCATACATTTCAGGTAAGAAATTACAGGCCTGTATTTTATTCAGAGTCAAGTCACATTTTATTCCAATGAATAGCAACTTTGTATTTCTGCACACGATGAAACTAACAATTTTGTCTTAGTGTAATACAGAAAATCCAGATAATATGCATTTCAAAATGAAAAAGAAAACACAATTCTCAAATACATGTCTAATTTAGTTCTGCCATCTCAAAATCTTTTTCAGTTTTAAACATTCTTATAAGAAACAAAAGTGGAAGGAATAATTGGGTATTTTCTCACCTGTCTATTTTCCTCTAAAATATTCCCAGAGAAAAACAATGGAAATACACTGTTTGTCAAAGTTAGTGTCATCACTGTTCAAATATCTCCAAAGCCAAGTGGATTATGTTACACTGAACTCCTGAGTCCCCAGGCAAATCTCTTCCAAATGCATGTTTTCTATTCCCCCTGGTTTTGATGAACTATTTCACATATAAGAGTAGACTATAATGAGTGTCTAATTGCTTGAGTTATGTTGGGTCAAGTAAGTACATGCTTTCTCCAAATTAACCTATGTAAATTAAAGAAATTCAGGGCAGGGATAGTGAAAAAGTTTTATTTGTTGACCTGGGAAACACAGAGTTAATTAGGAGTTCTCACCATAATTATCAAGGTCGCTGGTCCTATAAAACTCCAAATGAAGTAGGTGTCAAGTCGGAGCCAACATCTGCAAGGAAACACAAGGGAGAGCAGGCATTCAAGGACCAGGCGTGGGACATACATCAAGAGTGAGCGAGTGACAGAGAAGGATGTGAGCTGCAAAGCATTCCACAGGGAGACAGGAAATATTACATTGCTTGTTCATTTAAATGCTGAATTATGTGCCCGATTTCTGACAGCACTATTGATGGAGTAAGATAATTACCCCTGGAGGAAGAGGGAGAAATGGCACTCGGCCCATTTGCTAAGGCCTTTTGTGTATGTCATTAGAAACCTTATTAAAAAAAAAAAAAAGAAGAAAAGAAAAAGGAAAGAAAAACCCATACACAGAGCCATGAAATTGAGGAGTTTTAAGCTATCCTTTTCTCTCCAATTACAGTGCTACATAACCTGTCTATCAGCTGTTCGGCAGAGTGACATTTTTCCTGTCAAGATCTGAGGAAATTCAGTACAAAGAAGAAATAAATTTGGTATCAGGAGATTGAAGTTTAATTAGGTTGGGCAGCCAGCCTTTGAGAGCTCTCCACTCTGGAAAAGTGTATTGTTACTGTTCATACTTCTGGGGTTCCAAATGATCCTTAGCATCGCATGAAGTTGATTCATGACCTAAAAGTAAATTATTAATCACTTAATTTCAAGCACATTTAATACTTCCCCAATTCTTAAAGCCTCTGGGAAATTACATTTTCATTCTTCAGGATGACAGGAAGACAAAATGGAAATGATTAGTTACGAGAAAGATTAATGTAAATTCTGAACAAATTATATTTGATGTTAAAAATAATATCTTGAATTATTTGTCATTTTTGCTCTATTTGAGGCATAATTAAACAGAAAGGATCTCTAGTAGTAAATATTCAAGAGTATTTCACTGTGTGTTCTAAACTTGCAAGTCTCACTAAGGACTTAAATATTCCAGTGATTATACAAATGCTATTTATACCTAAGCAATAATGGAATACAAGTAAGGCTATTAAGAAAGAATCCTATAAACTCATATCAACAAAGAAATTGATTAAAAACACATTTTCTATTTCTGTGATGAAATGTAAAACAGTTAAAAAAAGAACAGTAAATCAACACGTCAATAAGTTAAGTTGAATGAAAGTCAGGCGAAGCATCTAACCACATATATGTTAAACATACACCTATAGTATATGATGTATCTATATTACATGTATAAGCACAAACATAAATTCTATACACTTACAGCTGTATATTTTTGATAGATGCACATACTTATAGTTTTTTAATGGAAAGGAGACAAATCAACTTCATGTTAGCAGTTGTCCCTGACATAAGAGCACAAAGGACTGGAATTTGACCGAAGGGGTCTCACTGATATGTTTGTTTCAACAGTTGCTGGAGGAAAACATGTTAATGTCTGAGTAATGAGGCAGTGTCCTTTCACTACGGTTTCACTTTGTTCCCGGTTTCTGTAGCTTTCAAATTTTTCAAACAAAGACCTCTTGTCTTCTGCTATTTAAGTGAGGGCTGGGGATGTAGCTCAGGGGCACACCGCCTGCCTGGCAAGCATGAGGTCGTGAGTTCAATTCCTGGTACTGGATAAAATAAATAAATGAATAAATAAATAAAGTGAAATGCAAGTAAACTAATTTCAATAGAAGTTCAATGGGTACTCTAGGAAGAGACTAGCTGCACTTTTATATTTTTATACAAATAAGATCATTTCCTTTCCTTCAAAATCAGTATAACGATTCTGTTTAAGGAAGCACTTTTAGTGCATCAATCACTATTTACATTGTTAGCTGTTTGTTTGAATAAGTGGCTGTCTTCTTGCTGTACCACTCAGAGACACTGTCTAGAGCAGCTAGAAGTGTGGAACGGCCCACAGCGGAAACAAACCAGGGGACTCAAAGGTAAAGTATGAACATTATTTTCATTCTTCCCACTATCTCGTTTATCGCCACCCTAATAAAAGGGTTTGGGTATATAGGGAGTAACTGAAGGGAACAGCACAATTTTCTGGGTAGCTCAAGAGTCTCAAAAACGCTTCATTTTCCTTGAGAGTAAAAATAATGAAGGACAGAATAGGGAAATTTCTTCAGATCAGACCTGACACAAATATTCACACGCACGCGCACAAACACACACTCACAAGGATGTTGCCGAGATTGCACCAACGTAATACTATACTAACTATTCATTTGAGAATGATTGTTAATTCCATATCTCTTGTTTGTAGCTCAAACAAGTTGTGGAGGTCAACCTGAGAACTATAGCATGCTTCCAGCAAATTCTTTTTATAGGGAAATTTACTTCCTGAGCTTCTGAAAAATGTCATTTTACAGATTCAGATCTTATACAAATAACATTAATTACCTTACTAATGAGGGTCTTAGTCTAACGGAATTATAAAATTCTCATGTCACCAAAGATGAAGCTTAAATAAAATAATGTCATTCAATTTAGCCTTGCAAAGCTTTATTTCTTTGCAAACAGTCTCAGCATAGCAAATGGTTTATTTGGAAATGTATTTTTGGTATAATTCTCTCTAAATATGAAAGTGAAATGAGAAATTATTTTTATACTTTAAGGAAATTCTTCACTGTTTGGTGGGATAGATTTAAATTCCTTTCAGAAGTGAACAGTGAAAATGCACTATGATACCCGAGACCTTACTGAGCAAAGCATGTCTCCATGAGCTCGAGCACTGTCCGGGCTTAGCTCTCTCCTGGAAGGCTTGGTGACAAGAATGTGGTTTCTAATTTGATTGCCATATGGCCCCACCTGCTGTTGGTTTTGGCAGCACGCTGGCTTTTTCGAAGCTGTCGGTATTTCATCTCTTTCACATTGCCTATCTTTAAAATTCGCATGATTCTCACCCCAGTTCACTGTGCCAGTGTTGAAACGATTCCCCTGGCTTCGGCGTGAGGAATATACAACATGGGGCTCATATGCATGCCCACCTCATCATGGTCTAGAAATCTGGCAACTCCGTGTCTTTTTTACACAATCCAAAACCATTGGTAAAGAGGAGACAGGGTCAGATCAGTCAACAAATGCTACAGTAAAAATTTTATCACACTAAAAATAATAAAATTTGCTTCACAACTGGCCAAACAGACTTGCTATTGGAGAACACCACTGTTTATACAATTGACTTTTTCCACCAAGCAATCTTTAATTGGTGAAATTAGGAATTTTGATAGGCATTCTTGTCTAAATTTTAAATGTACTTTTAGAAGTTTAACTTTTAAATTTCAACTGTTTATTTTTTTAAAAATCGAATTCAATCATAATATATATAACTATGCCTTACCTTTATAGAAATACTGTAACAAAAGTAACTGAACCAAACTTGAAAAGCAAATGTATGCTGATCATACCACACCTATAGTTGAAAACTTAAATTCCTTCCATACCAAGAATATTCTAAAATTAATAAGAGCACTTGTCCTATACTACAGACCTTTATTTATCTTTTATTTCACTTATGTGATACAGATATGCTTTTTAGTTTCTATTTTTGTAGCATACTTTTTCAGATAATAAAAGCAACATACTGTTATATATTACATAAAAAAGTCTTATTGAATTAATATAAGGTTACTGGTCTGAATGCTTGATAGAACTAGTGATAAGCCAAAAAGATACATTATTATTCTCCTCCACAATAGTTTCATTCCAAAATATAAGAAGCCTCATTGAAATTAATAATAAAAGCATTCATACTAGTATCATCTTCCTATTGAAAGTCAGTTACCTATCCAACAAGCACTATCTTTACTCAGAAAAAGAAGAGAAAAATGAAGCAAATTAATATTTCAAAATGGGACAAATTCATTTCTCAAAGTAGGAGAATAGAAAAACCATACTTCTAAGGTTTAAGCTCTTTTGCTAAAGGACTTACCATTTTATCATCAGTCATTTGAAATGGCATAATTCTTTTTTTTATAAATAGTAAGACTAACTATCCAACATACATAAATGTTACCCAAATCATGTTTTACAATATTTTCAGATACCTAAAACATCAGCAGGGCATAATTCCCTATTGAAAGTCAGCAATGCAAAACCATTAAGATGATTCAGAGCACTGTGTTTTGCTGCTGGTTTAATTTATTCATATCAAAGCAGACATCTACCTATTAAACCTATGGTTTCTGAAGTAATATAAAATAACAACGGTACTTAGAACTAAAAACTAGCTGTATTATATCAACTAAAAACTAGCTGTATTATATCAAACTAGCTATATTATATTATTATATGCAAGTTATGTCACCTTTATATATTCAATGTATCATTTTTTGAAAAGAATTTCACTATGTCTCCAGTAAAGTACATCTTTCATTCTTAGGAAGGATTACAAAAGCAAGCATAGTACTATTTGCTGTAATTTATTAATACATGTTGGCATAATTCCCATAATTACATCTTTCATAAATTAATATGAGATGATATAAGAATTCCAAGCATTACTCTAAAAATTGGATGCTTATTAATATAATTTGGTTTACAATTTTATAAAGTGTTCCTGATCATAAAGTTTGTATTTTTTCACTTGTATCAGCCAAATGTTAGGACCAGTAATAACAGTTACAATTTAATAAATGCCTACATGTGCCAGACAGTTATGTATTTACATACATAATTCTTACATACATATATATACATGCACACACATACACATATATGTACTTATACATTAATTCACAGTTTCAAACATTACAACAGTCTTGAAAGGTCCTTATAATATAATAAATATCACTTTACAGAATAAGAAAGTGAAATTCAGGGCAACTAGAATTTAATTCTAGTCAACTTGACTCCAAAGTCCCTATAGCTACTGGATGCTTCTGAAAGAGAATAAAGATTTATGTTATAAACCAAATGAGGTATAACTTAGTTAATTATAAATTCTCAATCAGTAGAAGATTGAGAATGTATGTGTTTTTTATAAAGCACAGATTATGGAAGCATGTCTAAAGTAAAACATCAAATCTTCTTAAATGTAACATCTTCTCTTGATATCAATGAAAA